CCGCCCCTTCGGCCCTCCCGTTGCGCCTCCGTCCGCCCCTTCTGCCCGCCGTCCGCCCTTCGCCCCTTCGTCCGGCCCTCTGTCCGCCCTTCGGTCCCCGCGTGCCCCCTCCGTCCGCCCCGTCGGCCCCCCCGCCGTTCGCGTGCCCCGTGGCTCCGTCCTTGGCCCCTCCCCCCTTGTCCCCCGCCCTTGCCCCTTGTGCCTCCTTTGCCCCTTCGCCCTTTTTTCCCGCCTTTGTTTCTTGCTTGCGCGCTTCCCCCCTTCGCCCTCCTCCCCCTTCTTGCCTTGTCCCCTCTCGCGTCCTCGTGTGGCTTGCCTTGGCTTTCCTCGGGCGTGCTGCCCGGCGGGTTGGCTCGGGGGTGGGCGGGCCGCCTCGGCGCGCCCCCGGGCTGCCTCTCCGCGGCTCGTGGCCGCCCGGCCCCTCTCCCCCTTCCCCTCCCCCGTCGCGTCTTTCCGTCGTCTGCCCCGGCTTCCGCTCGCCGCTCGCTCGGCCTTGTCCTTCCCGGCGGCCCCCGTGCCCCTTCCGCCCCGCCGGCTTCGCCCCCGCCCCGTGCCCTTGGGGGCCCCCTGGCCCCTCCTGCGGGTCGGCCCCGGGCGCCGCGCGCCTGCGTCGGTCTCGCCCGGCTTCTGCCTTCGCGGCGTTCCGTCCTCCTCCCCCGCCCGGTCGCTTCGCGCCCCTGGCTTTTCCCCCCCGCGCGCTGCCCCCTTGTGCGCCTCCCCGGTTCCTCTCGTCCTCGGTTGCCTTCCTCTTGCGCCCCTGTCCTCCGTCGGGTCCCCCTCCCCTGTCTCCCGCCGGTCTCCCCCCGCTCCCGTTCCCTCTTGGTGGGTGCCCCCTCCCCCCCTTGGTGCCTTCTGCTTCCCCCTGCTCGGCCGCGCCGCCCTCGCCGGCTCCCCCGCCCCGTCGCTCTGCCCGCTTGGCTGCCCCCCGCCCGTTCTCCCTGTGGTCCCTTTTCTGCCCCCTCTCGCTTCGCCTTCCGCCGGTCTCCCGGCTCGTTCGGCCCCGCTTTCCCGGTTCGTCTTCGTCCTGGCCCTCCGCCTCCCCCGCGCTTTTCCCCTTCTGTTCCCCCCGCGCTTTCTGTTCTCGTTGCGCTCCTCTTCGGCCCCCTGCGTTCTCTTTTCCCCGCTGTGCCGCCCCCGCCCCCCTCCCCCCCTGCCCCTGTCTTCCGCCCGGCTCGGCCCGCCCGCGCGCCTTGGGTCCCCCCGCGGGCCCTGCCCCGCCTCCGCTTCCCGGCCTCCGTCCCCTCCCGTTCCCCGTCGTGGTCTTTCCCTTTCGCCTTTCGGCTCCCCCTTCTCCTCCCCCTCTCCCGTCCTTTCCCCCGTCGGCCTCGCGTCCCGCTCCCCCGGGTCTTCTTTCCCCGCTGCTTCTGCCCCGCCCGTTCCCTTGGCTGTGGTTTCGCTGGCTCGTCGCCCGGGCCCGTGGGCCTCTCGTTCCTCCCTTCCTGCGCGTCCCTCCTTCGCTGCCGCGGCCTTTGGCTCCCTTCCGCGCGTCCTCGTTCCTCCCGCCGTTTCCCCGCGCTTGGTTGCCTTTCTTCCCTTTGCCCTTCCGCGCCCTGGGCCGCCCTCCCCTTGCGTTCGCCTCCGCCGGGCCCCTCGCCCTGCTTTGTTTTCCTTCCCCGTCGGCTTCCCCTTGTCCGTCCCCGTTCTGCGTTGGCTGTTCGCCGCCCGGGCCGGCCCCCGCCCGCGCCGTTCCCCGTCCGTCCCCCGGCCGGCCCGCGGCGCCCCGCTCTCGCCGCGGTCGCCGCTCGCGCCGTCCGCCGCCCCGCCGCCGGGTTCGGGCCTGGGCCCCCCCGTGCCCCGCCCTCCGCGCCCCTCCTTTTCCCGCCGTTCCGGCTCCCTTTTGCCGCCTTCCCTTGCCTCCCTTGTTCCCTTGGCCCGCGGCTGTTCCCCCTTGGCGCCCTGCTGCGGTTCTGCGTCCGCCCGGGCGTGGCCGGCCCTCGGTCCTCCGGCTTTTCCCGGGCCGCCGGGGGCGCCCCCGGCCCCCCGCGCCGTGTGGTGCTCTTCCCGCCGCTGGCCCCTCCCTCCGGCTGCGCCGTTTCCCGGGTGGGCCGGCTGTTCCCCGCCCGCTCCCTCTTCCCGCGGCCCCCGCGCCGCCGTCTCCGGCCTCCCTCCCGTTGCCCCCCCCGCCCCGTCCCGGTTCCGGCCTTTTCCCCCCGCTTCCCTTTCGGCGCCCGCGCCCCCCCGCGCTGTCTGTCGGGCTTCCCCGCCCCTTCGGCTCGCCTCCCCCTGTGCCCGTGCCGTTCCCCTGGCCCCTTTCCCCTCTTCGGCCTTCCCCGTTCTCCTTTGCCTCTTTGCTCCTCCCCCCGCTCTGCCCCCGCCGGCCGCTCCGCCCGGGCTCGCCCCCGGTTTTGCCGCGCCCGCCGCGCCCTCCTCCTCCTCGGGGCCTCGCTCTTGCCCCGCCGGCCGGGTCTCGGTCGCGCGCTTCCGCGCCCTCCCTTTTCGGGGCTCGTTGCTTCGGCCGGTGCGTTGTTCCCCCCTCCTTCGCGGCTTTCGCCTTCCCTGCCCCCCGTCCTGCTGTCTTCCTCGCCCCCCCCCTTTGTGGGCTCTCGGTTCGCGCGCCGTTGGGCCCCGTCCCCCGGCTTCCGGTTCCTCCCGCCTCGCCCGTTCTGCTTCCCCCCCTGGCCCCCTTGGCGCTGTTGCTTCCGTGGCGCGGCTCCCCGCCGCCGCCGCGCCGTCCTCCCCTCTTTCCCGTTTGCGCCTCGGTCGCGGGCGTTCCGCCCCCGCTGCCTCTCCTCCTTGGCTTTCCCCGCTCGCCCTCTCGGCCCGCTCCCGCTCTCCTGCGGGCCCCTTCGGCGGGCCCCCGCTCCTCGCCGGTTCGCTTCGTCTTTCGCCCCCTCTCCCCCCGTCCGCCGCCCGCTTTGCCCGTCCGTCTCGCTGCGGGCCTCCCCCCGCGTTTCCTCTGGCTTCGCCCCGCTCCGGCCTCGTTCCCCTCTTTCGGGTCCCGCCCGGTCTGCTCGCCCTCGCCCCTTCTCCGCCGCTCCCGGTCGGTCGGCGGTGCCCCCCCCGTGCGGGCTCCCGCCCCTCCGCTTCCTTGCGCCTTCCGGGTTTCCTCGCCCGTTGCCTCGCCCCCCTGTCCGCCTCCTTGGTCCGTGTTTCCCGCCGGGTCGCCTGGCGCCCCCCGGCCCGCGCCCGCGCGCGCCGGTGCCGCGGCCCGCCCGGGGCGCGCGCTGCTTCCCCCGCTCCCCGCGCCGCCGTTCCGCGGGCGTCTCCCCGGCCCGGGCTTTGGCCGCCCCCCGCCTCCTCGCTGGTCCGCGCCCCGCGTCGCTCGGCGGCCCGGCTCTCCCCGTTCCCCCTCCTCCCGGGGCGCCTCGCCGGTCTCCCTCCGCTTCCCTCCCGCCCTTTCCCGCCCTCTTTGCCTCTCTTTTCCCCGTCCTTTTCCTCTTTCCCTCGCGGTCCTTGTTCGCTCTCGTCTCTCGCCGTCTTTCGCCTTGGCCGGCCTTCCCCGCCCGCTTGGGGCTGCCTTCCCCCCCCCCGCCTCGTCCCGCGCCTCGTGGTGCGCCCGGGTCCGGGCCCGCCGGGGCTCTCCCCCTCTCCGCGCCCCTTTCCCGGGGCCTTGGGCCCGGTCCGCCGCTGCGGCCGCTTCTCCCGCCTCCCCTTCGCCCGGCGGGGCCGTCCGCTTCTCCGGCTGGGCTGTTCCCTTTCGCTCGCCGTTCCTCGGGCCTCCTTGTCCGTTTCTTTTCCTCCGCTTCTTGCTCTGCTTCCCCCCGCGGGTCCTCCGCCTGCCCTGGGGTCGCGGTCGGCGCGCCCCTGCCGCGGCTCGTCGCCGGGTCTTTCGCCCCGCGGCCGCCGGGGGCCCGGCGCGGCGCTCTGCCCGCTGGGTCCGCCCCCCTCGCCGTGCCGTCCGCCGCCCGGGCCTCGCCTTTGCGCCCCGCCGCCCCGCGTTCGGGGCGCCCGGGCGGCCCCCTCCGCTCCCCCGCTCGGCCGCGGGGCCGCGCCGGGGGCGCCGCGCTGCGTGCCGCCCCGGCCGCCGTGCCCTCGGCCTCCCGGCTTCGGGCGCCCCTTGCGTTCCCCGCCTCGCTGGTTCCCGGGCTTCTGCCCTTCCCCCCCCGTCTCGCCTTTCGCTCCGTTCTTCCTCGCTGCGCGCGCCGCGCTCTCCGTTGCCGCGCGTCGTCTTTTGTTCCGTCCGCCGCCGCCGCCGCCGCGCGCTCCGCGCTCCCGGTGCCCGGGCGGCCGGCCCTCTCGCTGCGGTCTTCCTTGGCGCGTTCCGCGCCGGGGGTTGGTTGCTCGCCCGCGCCGCGTCTCCGGCCGCCGCTCGTGCCTCCCCCCGTGTTCTCCCGTCGTTCTGCTGTGCCCGGTTTCGCCCCTGCTCCTTCCGCCGGTTCCCCTCCGGCCCCTTGTTCCGCCTTCTCCTTCCTCTCCCTGCTCCGGTTCCGTGGCCTTCTCGCGCCGTCGCGGGCCGCGCCCCGCCCCCGTCGCCGCGCTCCGCCCCCTTCCCCGGCTCCTTCCCTCGGTCGGCGCGCCGGGCGGTGTGTCCCCCGGGCCGGGCCGTCGTCCCCGCGCGCTGCTGCCTCGCGCTTCCTCGGCCTTCCTCGTTGCCGCCCCCCCCTTGCCCTGCTCTCTCCCCCTCCCGCTGCCCTTTCCCCGCTTCCCCGGGCCTGTCGGCCCCGGCTCTCTGCTCGTTGCCTCCCTCCGTGTCGCGCGCGTGCGGCCCCGCCCCTCTCCGGGCCTCCCCGCCCTGTTCTTGCCTCCCCCTTCCGCGGCTTGCCCGGCCGTCGTCCCTCTCCGCCGCTGGCCGCGGCGGGCTCCCTCCGCCTCGCTCGTTCGCCGGCTGCGGTCTCGTTCGTTCCCGGCCTTCCCCCGCCCCCTCGCTCCCCCCCTCCGCCGGCCCTGCCCCCCCCTCGCCTCTCGCCCGCGCTCTCCGTCTGTCCCTCCTTCCTCTGTCTGGCCCTGGTCCGTTTCCCCGTGTTGCGTCCCCTTCCGCCGCCGGCTCCCCTCCTGGTGGTGCCCTTCCGTCCCTTCCTTTCCGTTTCCGCCTTGCGCCCCTCCCCCCCCGGCCCCCCCGCCTTTGCTTTCTCCTCCGGTGCCGGCGGCGTCCTCCCCGCCCCCTCCGCCGCTCCCTGGTCGGCCTCGTTTCTGGTTGCGCCTCGGCCGGTCTCTGCTCGTCTTCGCGCCCCCCCCTTTCGTTCTTGCTTCCTGCCCCCCTCCTTGGCCCCTGCTTTCGCCGTTGTTCGTCTTTCCTCCCTCCCCGCCTTTCCCCCTCTGCCTCTGCCCTCCGCCTGCCCCGCCTGTCCCTGTTCCTCTTCCTCCCGCTCCCGCCGGCCCCCGTCCTCGGCCCGCCCTCCTCTCCTGTTCTCCCTGCTCCTGTCTCCCGCGCGTCGGCTTGCTTTGCGCCTCTCCTTTCTTCCCGTCCCCGCGCCGGCGGCCCGCCCGGCCCCTTCCGGCCCGGCGCGCCTCGCCGCCGCCGGGCCGCGCCGCCCGGTGCCCCCCCGTGGGGCGGCCCGGCCGGCCCCTCCCCCGTCCCCGCGCTTTTTCCCTGCCCCCCTTCCCTCTCCGCTCTTGGCGCTGGCCTTCCCGCGCTGCTGGCCCCCGCCTTGCCCTCCCTGGCTCCTCGTTCCGGGCTTTCGCTTGTCCTCCTTCCCCTTCCCGCCTCGCTCGCGCCCGGTCTTGTTCTTTCTTGTCCCTCCCTCCCCGTGTCCGGCTTGGGTCCTTTGCGCGCCCTGCTGCCTTCCTTGGCTGTGGTCGCCGTTTCTCCGGCTCCCTCTCCGGCCTCGCCCCCTCCTTCTCCGTCCCCCCGTCCCCCCCTGGTCGGCCCTCTCCTCCCTCGCCCGTTGCTCGGGCCGCCCTTTGCCTGCTGCGTCGCCGGCGCTCCGGCCGTGCGCTCCGTCGAGTTCTCCTGCCTCCTCGCCGCCCCGGGCCGCCCGCGTCGCCCTTTTCTCTCCTCCCTGCATCCCTTCCCGCCGTCGGGGTTTGTTGCCCGTCTTCGCTCTCGCCTTCCTCCGGTTATCCGCGTCGTCGGTCCCCTCCCCCTATCCTGCTTTAATGAGCCATTCGCCGTTTCCAGTCTGCCTTAGTTCCTCCTTCCCCATGCATGGCTTCCTCTTTGAGCAAGCATCTGACTCCTGGCCGGCTCCCCCAGGTCGCATTCCTCGCCGCGTCGCTGCCGCCCGAGCCGCCGGTCCGCCCCCGTCTCCCGCTCGCTCCTCGGAACGCGGGATTGGCGACGAGAACGACCGCTGGCTAGCTCGAGGCGCCAGTTTGAGTCGTCAACCGCGTCGGGACGGGCAGATTGGAGCTCGACGCCCCCTTGCCCTCAAGGTGGACCGAATCCGAGAGCTCGGCCAGTCGCCCTCGTGCCAAGGCCGCGCGACGATTCGCGACGACCGTGGAACGTGGCGATGCCTTCTCCGTTCGTCCCGCGCAAATCCACGCGTGTTGCGAACGAGCGCGCACGAAATGCAAATACGTTAAGCCGTCAGTGCCGTGCGAGGTATGCAACACAGGAAACCGTCGTGCGACCAAGGCCTTGCGCCCTTGTGTCGTCTTGTATGAAGAGGCGTGCTTGGCAGGACGTCGCTGCTCGAGCAGGGATCCAACCTGACCGCACACGCCGATAACCACTCACGCACCGTCTCGCGTCGCAAAAAACGCCCCAATCGCTTAGCCGAGGATCGATAGGAACCCGGCCCGGACGAATCCGTGCACGAGTCCCCACCGATGCTGGCCGTCACGGCAGGAACGCCCCGCGTCGATAGGTACGAAAGGTAACCCTTGAATTCCCATCTCGCCGCTCACATTGGTTGTGAGTCCGTCTCGCCATCGGGTGAGGTGGAGGAAGCCCTCGAGGAGTGGAATCCCTCGATCAATGCAATACCATACCTCTTGCGAGGTGGGTCAGCCCCCACGTCCGTCCGGAGCACAATCATCCTCTAACGAACAGCTTACTAGACGGTTGGAAACGGGTCTCGGTAACTCACAACCTACTACGGTATGTTGCAGATTCACGGTTGCTCGATTGACCGACAACCCCCGCCAACGACGTTTTTTTGCATGTCCGTCTCCCTCAGTGCCCCGCGTCGATAGTTACGAAAGGTAACTACCGAATTTCCATCTCGCCGTACGCATTGGTTGTGAGTCCGTCGCGCCATCGGGTGGAGGAAGACCTCGAGGAGTGAAAGTCCTCGATCAATACAACACCATACCTCTTGCGAGGTGGGTCAGCCCCCAAGTCCGACGCTAAGACAACGCCCGTTGCGCTTGGGCAGATTCGTAGCGAGCGCACAATCATCCTTTAACGGACAGCTTACTAGACGGGTGGACACTGGTGTCGGTAACTTACAAGCCTACTGACGGTATATTGCAGATTCACGGTTGTTTTTTTGCCCCAACTTGTTCCACGGCCGTTTTTTTGCATGTCCGTCTCGGTCAGATCCGGACGTGTCGTCGAACGAGTGCTGTGGAGGAAGCCCTCGAGGAATGAAAGGCCTCGAGCAATACAATATTTCTATCCTCTTGCGAGGTCGGTCAACCCCCACGCCCGACGACACGTACGCTGCACTGCGCTACGCTGGGCGGGTTCATTGCGAACGCCCGCCCTCCGCCCTACGGCGCACCGTAATTCGTTAACGAACAGCTTACTAGACGATTGGACACGTGCCTCGGCAACTCACAACCTACTGACGGTATATTGCAGATTCACGTTTGCTCGATTGACCGAATTCACGTGCCAATGATGTTTTTTTGCATGTCCGTCTCCGTCCGGTGCGCCGCCCGCCTTGCGACTCCGATGGGTCTATGCCGGTCCCCAATAATACGTACGAGCGGCGGGAACACTCGTACGAGGCCTACGGGACGAGGGGGCCCGTCCCAACACGTTCCGAAAAAAGTCGACCGGCACCTCAACTACCATACCCCCCTATAGTAGTTAAAAAAAAAAAAACCCCAGTGACAGCAGTAGACACGGTTTGTCCCGTAAATCACACGGTCATTTCGGGTGGTTCCGTGCATTTTTTTTCAAATGTTATTGCATGGTCCTTTAGTTTAGAGCATTTTAACAATGCTTGGTAAATTTCAAAGCGTTTGGATGATTATTTCATTGAAAACGACGATGTCCAAATTTATGCCAGCTGTCCGCAAAGTTCCTTGTCTGACTTAGCCAAGTACTTGGGATTGTTGGGAATGTGAGAGGAATA